GTTCAGGTATTTTGTGGCTTGCGGCGGTGAGGGTAGAGTGAGAGCCCATCAATTCTTACGGAAAGCTTTCAGACAGAGGTTGTAACGAACTAAAGGATCAGTTAACATAATATATATACTTATATACTTGATTATATATATATATACTGTACTTATAATGTATACACATGCAATACATATACTTAGATTGTATGATATATGTATATATATATACCCTCACCTTCGAAAACCTTAAAAAATGTCGGGTCTGTGTCGAAACCTTAGGTTTGCACACTAACAGCTTGCAAACATCGGGTTTTCCAGCGAAACCTCGGGTTTTGCTTGATTTTAAGGTGCAAAGGGCCTTATGATATGGCCTAAGCTCTTTGGGAGCAACCTTGATGGACTTTTGTCGCAACCCTGCCGTTGTATGCATCACGGAATCGCTGAAGTTGGAGAATGAATCAACAAAGCAAGAATTGCATGGTCTCTGAGATGCAGAAGGTGGACTGCATGTACTGGTCCTAATCGACATAGACGGGCTCTCACACAGTGGGTTCACAAATCTCTCTACCCTCCACTTTGATGTTTGAATCCAGCCAATGTTTTTTAATGATGGGCCCCTGATGGGCAACATTTTCAGCTGTTACCTTTAAAAAGCTCACATCCTCTCCGCAACATGGCGAGCTTTTTCCGCGAGAACGGTGGGGCCCTCGGTCGCCAGCAATCCTGCAAAGCACGGCTTTGAATGTGGCGGTCTGGGGTCCAGCAGGCCCCGAATCTAAAGCATAAGAGATCACAAAGCAATGGCACGCAAAGCACAATTGAACCACTATTGCCACCAAAGCCATTTGGCCCGAACACTCCGGGAAGGTTTTCCTTTTCGCGTCTTGGTTGCTAGCATGGCAAAAAACCCAGGGAATCGCAGTGGGAGACCTCGGCAGCCTAGTGAAACTCTCAATCTTGAAGGACTTGTTTCTGATTGGGATTCATGTGAGTGCATTCGCGAGCGAATGAGGAACCATGATCTGTTGCTAGATACGACAGGTGGCGAGGACATTGCGGCCTGCGTGAAATGTGAGGCGGTGCTTTGGCCCTTCCTCACGAGGATGAGCTTACTACAAACTCGTCCCTTGCCTCAGGTGGAGCCTTTACGTTGTGCAGTGCAGTCCTTTTTCGAGACGTGTAAGAGACCAAGCACTACAGAGGACGAAGCCAATATCGTGAGCATCGGGTGGAAAATCAGGAAACTACTGGGGTTCATAAAAATGAAGGTACGACGTGGCGAGGTGTCCACCGTGCCTTGTTTGGAAATAAGGCTATTTTTGAAACACAGTATTATATTGAAAGATGTTCAAAGCATTGTGCCGCTACAATTGTTGCAGTGATTTCGCTCATATATTACAATATTTTTGAGGTGCCAGAGTTCCAAGCAATGTGTCTCCAACTTGACCCAGATCTGCAGGCAGGTGATTTATTGACATATTAGGTATTTGTCCCTTTTGCATCAGCTTCACGATGTTAAGTAACACTGGTTGAATCCATGAAACACCAAAACAAATTGTCATTTCAATCCTGCTGCAAGTCCATGTTCAGGGCTTGGTCGATGAAACCAATGCCAAACTAGCGGCCCGTAAGAGCTCTAAAGAGGACGTTTTGCTGTACGTGCTGTATGTGTCCAGAGCTTCAAGCTCATGTGCATTTGGTTTCCAAACAGTAGAAGGAAACAGTTCATGTTTGAATTATCAGTTGTGTCGCTCTCTATGCACGCGCAGGAGGAAATTGATGATGAGGACGCTTGGGAGCAGGAGGATCAGGAGTGTGAGGGTGAAGAAGAGGAACAAGAGCAAATAGAGGGTGAGGGTGATGAGATTGTTGATCCACCGCCAACAGGGCCCACCAAGGAAGATGAGAGTTCGAAGAGTCTGCTGAATGATAGGAGTGACAAACCGAATGAGCCAGAATACAAACCTAGCACCGAAGCGCTAGTTCACCACATGGCTGCTCCTTCTGATGCTGAGTGTTCTTCAAATCATGAGCCTTCAACGGTGGAGCCACTAGCCGATGCACCTTCTCGCACCCCTGATGATCAGCCACAACGGGCACCTGAAAAGAGTAACTTACCTCAACTTATCAGTGAAAGAGCAAAGCAGTTATTCATGTTTCTCGGACAAGTTCAACAACGCTATTAATGATATATTTTGTCGACTCCATGCTCAGGTAAGGCAGAACTGGTCCAATATCGAGCAGAGCTTGAAGCTAAACTTGCCAAGCCTTTTAGCCGGACATGTGGTTTGATCAGTTTCGGTAATTTGAAGTTATAGTTTTTAGGTCTAATTTTCACGACTTTTCTTCCGTCTCAGGTTGCGAGAAGCCAAAGCACTTAGAGCATCCACACTTTCTCCACCTATCAGTTCCCCAGCGCCGACTGAAGCAGGACCTGAAAATGACAAGAACGGGTTTCGAATACATTTGAATTTGTGTTTTCTCACAGCGCAATACATGTCAGGACAGGGCCTCCATCGAGCAAAGACAAACATCGACAACGTGGAGACATATCCTGCAGACCTGACGTATGCAGACATCGGTGACAGCCCAAAACCATCAACTTCACCGGACATGTCTACCAAGGAAAGGAGGGCAGCCTACCAACGATGTGACCCACCGTCAACAAGTGAAGCTAAAGATGAAACGATGGAAAGGGGGGAAGGATCGCATGAAACCAACCAGACCAAAACCAAATCTGCTACAAAGGTTTACACACCCGATACGTCGTCTACGCCAGCGGAAAGCCATGAGATAAAGCTTGCATCTTCGAATATGAAAGAACAGAAGGATTTCACCAGTAGCGATGAGCAGGCTAGGGACACCTGTGCAATATCCTTGACTGTGTGACTGTGTGATGATATGCATGGTTTTGCAAAAAGGGTTGTAGTTAAGTTTTCCTGAAGATACCCATACCAATCGGGTGCAAATTGTTGGATCTCCGCGCAGGTGGAACCTGGAAAGCCGCTCGTGACTAGACAGGAACAGTTGAACGCCAAGCCTGATTCCGAGAAAACAGGACGTGGACGTGGAAGAGGGAGAGGAAGGGGTCGGGGAGTGTCGAAGCCTGAGAGCAGTGCAGCGAGTGCACCAAAGAAACGTACACCCAAAGAACGTGCAGAACATGACAACAAGCAAGAAGACATTTATTTCAAGGGTCGCAGATCTCGATCGGCAGCAAAGGCTGCAAACAAAGAATGGGAGGATTGGGAAACCCAAATGTATGATGATGAATGGGACGGATACACGTGGTCCGAGAAAGCAAAAGGTTGGGTTTGGGACAATGCTGCCTTTTGGGCAGCTCAAGAAGCAAAGGAAGATTTGAAGAACATGGAGAAAGACAAGACGAAGAAACAACGCACAAACAGGAAAAACCGAGTTGACCAGAGTCCTGCGGGTCAAAGTGCTAAGAAGAAGTCAAAAGTTGCAAAAGAGGCAACAGAGGCCGTGGCAAAACGGCAAAAGAAAGACAAGATGGAACCCAGCATCAAGGGTAAGGGAGAGAGTGAAGAGAGCACCCAGAAAGACTACATGGAGGTTCGTAGATTCCTGAACGAGTTCAGCAAGATACCAGGAGAATCCCAAAGGACTTGGATGGAGCTAAAGCTTTCTAGCATTTCGTTTGAAACTTGTAAGTTCGTCAACAAGTATTGGACTCGTGGGGCAGTGGGCATCATGTGCAAGAAAGAGGGCAAGGACGCTGGTACCTTGTCGTGCCCGGGCGCCACGAATGTTCCTGTGAACTACAGAATGGCCGCAGCGATTCACGCAGCTCTTGCCTGTGTCACTTGTTTGCCTCAAACAATGAAAATGCTTGAGTGCAAAATTAACAACAGTGTTTGGAGAATCTTGTCCAACAAAGTTCTGTGTTCAAGTAAATGCACGCGCGCGCTGAGGGGACATATGCTGATGCATTGGCTTCTGAGAGCAAACAACCAAAGATGCTCAGCGAATACCCTGAGTTGATTGAGTTTATTGAGCAAGCAAAAAAGACTTGCAAGAAGGCAGTTTCCGACTTTTACAAAGATAGAACATGTCCGACTCCCGAGTAAATTCCAGATGGATTTGCTATAAGGAGTTTTGGATCTTTTCGCCGTTCGCTTGCACGTGTGTGTAGGGCGTCAAGTTGCGAACAACTTGACTTATGGGGTAACACACCCTTGGAAGCTTAGAGCGGATGATGCACTATAGCCTCCGAGCACTTTGTGGGGATCACATGTTTTCAGGAGTCACCGCAACAAAACAAAAAACTGTCGGAATTGTCGTTTTGTAAGTTTATGGCCCCACAGCACTCAATATCCGTCGGATATTGGCTCGACCGCTACTGATTTATGTCTCCAAGTCTGAAAACAAAGCAACAAAAATAGCTGATAACGACCTTATATTTGTTTTGTTTGCTTCGTTCGGTCGACCATGGAAGCAAGTCGGAAGAAGCTCGCCGGAACATGCCCGAATGAGAAAAGTGCTTGAGTGTCCGCTCAACTCCACCGTTTCAGTTTAACAGTTGATGTGTTGAAGACTCAAATTTTTGGATTCCGCTATAGATGAGCGATTGTTTCTCGCGACACGTTCAAGTTTCAACATCATTCCTTTCCTGCTCCCAGCTGTCCTCATGAGGTCATGGCACCAAAGCAGCTGCAGAAGCGTCGGAACCTGTGGCAAGTGCGGGCCAAGACAGCATCTCTGAAACGTCTCGCCGTCCAGATTATATCGGGAATACCGAGTGCAAGAAGTCAAGAGCTCGAAGTTGCCATTTGATTGTTTGACTTGGCGCTTGGTAGCTGTATGATGCCCAAAAGTCTCACAAAGACTTTGGATAGTATACATGCAAGCATTTTTCAAACACAATAGCAATCACATCCTTCGCTCGCACGGCCCGTCGATCATGGTGGATTTAGATGCTTTGGTGTATCGCTTGAAAGCCCTTCGAACGCCTAAGGTGTGCATGCATTAAACGTGTGTCTGTTGCACCTGATATGCATCACAGTTGCGATCAGGCATTTGTGCTTTGTGTCCTGTTGCTGATCTGGACTTATGAGACTCCAGAGGCACGTTGACCGCTAGAGTAGATTCTTTCCACCTCTTGGCGTACACATGTTTTCCTTGGTCCTATTGTTATCCCTGGCAGGTATACCAGTGGTTGGAGTATTACGCTGGAGTAGGAAACATCACAAAATGTATGATTGCAGCAGAATACCGAGCAGTTCGCTTTGACCTCAAGGATAACGAACAGCCGAAGTATAGAAAATCGAACTTCATGGACTTGTCACATGCCTCAGGGTTTGCGAACCTTGGACCGAAGACAGTTACAGGGCCATATATATGTTTGCATGCAGGTATATTTGCACATATTTTGTCAGATACAAGTACTGTGCACACTGTGGACGACTGAAGCGGTCCGAGGCTTGCAATACTTTGCATGCTGCGCACGGTTGTGGGCCAAGGGGAATTTGCCTGTCACTTCGGAATCAAATGTAGCAGTTTCTCGAAGATGAATGTTGGGACCAGTCAGCGATCAGCGTGTAGTGCAACCGGCTTTGCTGAATATGTCTCCGTGAAGTTGGCAAACACGCTTCTTGAGAGGATATGTTCTTTCAAACTACTAAGTTTATCATATCCATTATCCGTGATCTTGAGGTCTCATAGTCTTGCAAGACTATAAGATCAAAAGTGTAATGGCACATTCAATCATATATGCCATTTAGAACCGAGCCCAATGAATCTACACAACCCTGCAGGACAATCTGCCTCATTCTTCTTTGCACGGCACTTGGAGGTGCATGGAGCCTAGAACAGCCTTCAGGCTCACTGTTGGAATTTTACCCGAGGTGGCGCTTTATGATGGCCAGCATCTTCGACTGTGGTGGGAAAAACGCAGTAGGGACCCTCAAATGCTGATTGCAAACATGTGTTGACAACCACTTGTACAAAACACTTGCAAGTAAAGTACATCCTGAACCAGTGTGATTTTTGGGATCGTTTAACTTCATTTGACGGGTTGAGACACTGTACCAATGGCAATAAGGTCAGCGTTGTCAAATGGTGGATGGCACACTATGCTTCCTGCACACCCAAACGACACTACGCATATGCCAACTCTCGCCACATCATGCGAATCGACAAGGGCAAGTTGCAGGGATGGAAACATGACAAACGTCCCAAACAGAAAAGTGCTGATCGTTATGTGGATTCTTCGGGGAAGAAGAGGTACAAAGGCACCGCGCATTTGAAGAATATGGAGAAGCTAGAATAGCACTTGGGAACCATCACCAAGAGTTCAAAACCTGATACTTTTACAACAATGTTCAAAACTTTTGAAACCTCAGCCGCTCATCTGCCACCCACGATCCGCCCAGGATATATCCGATGCCTTTTGCACGCCAGATTGTGGACTTGGTCGAAGACCACAAGCGGGAAGCCCAGGGCCTACCTCATTGTCCGGCATCAGGTTTTCCACCGGCTCTCGAGACTCTCGTGTCCGAAGGGTGGTTTCATGAGTCTGACTTGTGGCAGTTTGTGGACTTCAGTCAACTTTACAGCTATTTGCGGGGCAACCGAAACCTGAAGATCCCCGATCAATGGAAGGCAGTGGTACCTAGGGAGCTCTAATGGTGAGTTATCTAGAATCATCGTGTTTCTTCTCTGATTGGCACCCGAATCATGGGTTCGACGTCATACAAGAATCGGACTTTAGCATTTGTTGTTATGTTTTTTTACATTTTTGTATGGAAAATAAAGGTTCTGGTTTGGAACCCGTACTGAACCCGTACTGAACCCGTAATTTACCCGTACTAACCCGTAATTTTGGTACCGATACCTCAGGTTTTCCAGAAAACTTCAGGTTTTCCCAACCCGTACTGAACCCGTACTAAACCCGTAATTTACCCGTACTAACCCGTAAAAAAAATTACGGGTTCGAGCTCCCCTGGCCAGACCACTTTTTGCCATATAATTCGATATGTTTTGCTTGAATACAAGCAAAATTCCAAGGTTCAGTATTTGCCTGCCGACTTAATTTGGATGTGCACGCATGTTCGGATGGTCACTGGATCACATTTGGTGAAGGGCCGAGCTTCATCGTAACCCGAAGACGACAAAAAATGACCGACATCATGGTTTTGCAAGAGTTTTACGCTAGTTTACCCACCACTTCGTGTATTGCAGTATGTGTTCAACTGCCTGCCCAATTCTCAGGTGAATCTTGCTCGCAACGGGTTGTCGCTCGCAGTGCTTTTCACAGGTGGTTGTTTTCGCTAGTGTTCCAACGATCAGGGATGACCCAAGTCTCCAACAAATGGAGCTGCAGCACTCTCATGGATGGCATTGATCATGTGGGCGCTGAAGACGAAGAACAACTACTATTGCGACAACTTGAGGCGTAACCACAACTCAACTAACGTCAACTAACAAAGCAGTTCAGTTCTTACCAAATTGTTTTTTGCATGTTCCTTCACAATGGCCCATCCAGGAGGTTGGTGACAAGATTGCGGACATGGAGTCACATCCCTTCGCTGGAACCTGAGCCCATTTTTCTAAAATATTTTTGTTTTTTTTGTGAAGCTCAGCCAATAATGATCTGACTGGCCACAGTATATAAAGTTGTGGGCCCACACAACAACAAAACCTAGTATCTCCTACAGTGTTTTCCAACACTTCCCGGCATCGCGTGATAGAGGCCGAGACACAAGTTGTGGACATCACGGATGCGGAAACCATTCCGGCCAAAACCTCAATGTGAAGCTTCACACTTTCGCACTCTGACATGGATTGTCGTTCAAAACTTCAAAACAATATGAATTAAGGTGCAATCTATTCCAATGTCACTGCATTCCTGTTTGCAAAGTTCCTCCCAATGTCATCCAATGACTATCGCAAGTGGGGTGTGCTCAAAAGGGATCACCTTATGACTCTGTGTGGACCTTCCGGGTTGTTCTTAAGTCGTGCTGAGGCTACGGAGTCGCAGCTTGAAGAGGCACTCAAATCTAGAGAGCAGGTGGCCCGAATGCATAAGTCTGGAAGACGGAATTGCAGAATCCATGGTTGATAAATGTTGATAATAATCTGTCATGCTTGAATTGACAGTTGAGGTTCCAACAGTGCCTACCCATGAGACACAGGAGACCACACCAAAAAGACAGCTGGAGGATGGTATGACACTCGAGTCTTCTGGTGAGACTCTGTCTCCTACCAAAAGAGTTCGTGTGGATGATCCCCCAAAATCCCCTGAGAAGAAGCCATTGGAAGTAGAAATCGTGGAACCCGCGCCCACTCATCCCTCAACGCCGCTTGGGAGCACAGCTGCAGCTTCTACTCGCAAGGCTCGGCCCGAAGTGGAAGAACATGTTTTTTGTCCTTGGGTTCGAGCGATGGCTTTCAACATCCACGATTCAAGCATTGATGTGGAAGACTCGAAAATATATATAGAAGGCATGAATGATATTGTATAATATTACTATATTAGCCTATCGCAACTCTCTGCCTATCACAACTCTCTCCGGTGGGAACTGGTAGGTACAGCTGCGCTTGGCGAGCAAGGCTCGACTGATGCGGTGGGTACGTCCCAAAACAAAGAGGTCTGACCTAGAAGCACCAGAGTGGCTGAGACAAGAGTGGGCAAAAGGCGATAAGAATGCCATAGCAGATTTGTATTGCCACTGCAACTTCAGCAAGGAACCTTGCATGCACTTGCGTTTACAAAAGCATATCGGCATGCGCAGGAAACGCTATGATTGCTTGCATGGGTAGTTTCCTGAGGATGTACTCAAACGTTGAAACTGTGAGGATTTCAAAGCCCGCCTTCTTGTGTACATCAAGAAGAAGCAGATGATTGAGCTCACAGTTGATGAAGGTTGGTACTCCGAACATGAGATGAAGGAGGATCTGGGTTGGTCTAAGTATGGGACTTAGTCTTGTTTCGGGGGTTTGTCAAAGATTGGAGCTTGTACCGGTCACACCTTGAGCAGCCAAGAAAAACTTACACTGTGTTCGGGTGTATGTTCGGGTGGACAACCCATCTCGCTCAGGACCAAAATCGATGGTGCTATAGCCAGGTGCCGTAAATTGGGAGCGAGCCACTGCAGGCACACTGAGCATCTTGCAACCCTTAAATGTGTTGTGTCAGTTGTATGTTTTAAATTGAGGTATGTTTCCACAAATTGCGGCAGGCGAAACCAATACGACGGACAAGAAGAATTCTGGGTGGTGGCAAGGGAGACCGGCAAGCGACAGGAATCTCAATCCTATGAGGAAACACTGACGCAGCAGAAAGAGGCCTTCCAATTTGTTCTTCCCGTGGTCAACTCACTCCAAAAATTCCATCAGGTTTCTTATGTCACGTTCTCCATATGTTGGAGTTGGCAGGCGCCGCAAAACCTAGATTTCAGCATGCCGGGTGGCGAGAAGTTTCAGGGCTTGGATGGGTTTTCAGCACGGTTTAAGAGCGAACAATCTGCTGGGCTCCCAACTTCTGCGCCGGACAAGTTTGCACAGGTTGGGGGGTTCAAGTGTATGATGTTCACCATTGTTCACCGTCTTGCGAAACAGTTTTTAACGAATCAACCACTACGCTAGACAAAAGATGCTCTGCGCAAATTCATCGACTCGATGATGGCAAAGAGTGGCAAGCTACGGTCACTGATCAGAGAGCTGCAAAGCAAATACGCCGATGCTGCCATCAAAGAGTTTCTTTCACAAATTATATACAGTCCAGGTTTCTTTCCAACCAGCCACTGAGCCCACAAAGCTTCGGGCTTCTTGCCGATCAGGTGCATCAGCAGCCTGGAGTCAGCGGTGCAGAACATTGATCGTGAGTTCGATTCATGCAATGAATGTTGGATCAAAGGGGAAACGGAAGGCTTCCACACCGAGGAGTTGCTAGATCGAACATGATGTATACACCTTAAGCCCTTGGAACCATAAACTGTTCGATCGCACATTTGAGGTTTCACAAGACGGCCGAAGCGAAGATGAGAGCTGCAACAATCGCGTCGTAGCCTCACCGTTACCGTGTCTGTCAACCATAGCGAACACTCATATGGAACACTTGGGTCTCCCTCTCTCCAACCCATCAACTTGTGTCAGAGGTGCGGCCGTGCAGCATCCATTGAACTCAAAGTGAGGCGGGCCTGCCATACAACATCACGATATATTCTTTTGAATGATATCAGTCCGATATCGTGGAAACCAAAGGTGGTCATGCAAGTGTCCTGTATCGTATCAATCTGGGAAACAAGCTTCTTCAATTCACATTGCAGGAACGCGAAGAAGTTCTACACCAAGAAGGACCCTGCTGCAAAGAGTTCCGCGTCAGCTGCCCCAAAGGGGAAGCCTGGCCTAAAGAATGAGACTGCCACAAAAGGTACCGCAGGTACTGCAAAGGCGGCAAAGGCCAAAGCCAAAAATAGGGGTAAGTCTGCTTCCTGAAAAGGTTGCAGTTTTTGTGGGAGCCGACTTTCGTGAGCGCCTTTGCCCGGAAGGCTTGCTTTGCTGGGCTATAGTTGTATTAAAAGGAATTGTCGCAACCCATTTGCAAAAGCATTGTTGTCTCATTACATCGATGGTGCGAAGCAATCGGCCAATTTGGATAATTTCATTCTTGTGGTATTAGCCACAATGTGCGTGTTTTGCAATCATTGCTATCGGTGGGGCTACTCGGTCAAAAAGGGTCCGGGGTACTTATCTTTTCTTGCTCGGCTTATGCCTGTGAGATGTGGGAGCTGCAGTTGTTATCAGCCATCCAACCCATCAAATACCGCCCCTCCTGATCTCCGCACTTGAAACCTTGAAGTGTCGCGCCAGGCGCCCGTCCTGGAAGAGCAGTCCGCGGCTTTGCCAAAAGGATTGGGCAAGGAGCGCTGCTCTCAGAACCTGCCCAGAGTTTCGACTACATGTGGTCCAAATCGAGACGTGTCCTCCAAACATTCGGTAGTGGTTCATTGTGCTTTTTAATGGACATGTTTGAGCTCACATGTATATTTTATGTTTGTCCTAAACCAATGCAACCCAGAATGAAAAGCGTTCGAGGCCACCAATTTCAATCCCATAAGTCACATCAAGTGATGTCAACGCCACTATGCACACCAATAGAGCTGCACCACCGTGAGAAAAAAACAACGTGTGGTTTTCATGCCAGTCCACCTGTTTGCTTCACGAACGGCTTTCTGCGTTTCGTGTTTGGGGATATCTTTGGATGAGAGCCCTGTGCGCCTGAAGAGGCTGAGAAGGTCTCCAGCCATCGCAGACCTGTCACCCGAATAGTATACACAACGACCGTTGCACATTCAGCTTAATAACATAAAACTGCATATAGCTTTTTGCTTCAGGCCTATTTAGCACTAATGGCATCGGTTCAGACCAATTTCCAATTCAAAACAAAATAGATAGGCTCATGCTATCCCACAGTCCTTTGCTCGCTATATAATGTGAACTATTGTGATCTGCTTACATCTTCCCATCGTTTGCGAGCGCATTTACCCGCGCAGCGGACCGAGGCTTCTTGCACATCGGCAATTGAAGCGGCCCGCGACGTTGTCGCAGACATAGGCCAAGCGGCAGCCAGGTCGGGCGGACTACAACATTTGGCAAAGTGTTCTTTGAAGAACCCTGAGAGG